ATGCAACAGAACCTGCAGATACTCAAACAGCAGGTAGTTGAAGACATTCAGACAGATGCTCTAGTAGGCAGTTAGTTAGGGCTAGGGCAGAGACTCGAGGTACCACGTCCAGACTTTCCTCTTTCTTTCTCCTTGGAGGAACAAATCCAACTGGACAATGAATAAATCAAAAATTTCTTCTATACTACTAAATTTTTTTAAAGATTTTATTTTTTTTTTAAGATTTTATTTACTTATTTTCCAGAGAGAGAGAGCACAAGCAGGGGGAGGGGCAGGCAAAGGGAGAAGCAGATTCCCCACTGAGCAAGGAGCCCGATTAGGGACTCGAACCCAGGACCCTGGGATCATGACCTGAGCTGAAGGCAGATGCTTAACCGACTGAGCCACCCAGGCGTCCCAAAAGATTTTATTTTTAAAGTAATCTCTACATGCAACCTGGGGCTCAAACTTAAAACCCTGAGATCAAGAGTTGCATGCTCTACCAACTGAGCCAGGCAGGCACCCCTATACTGCTGAATTTTTAAATATCATTCAAGCACTCTACAACTACTTTTCAACTTCTAATTAATGTGAAATATACTGAAAATATTTATTTTTTTATTTAAATTTTGTTAGTTAACATACAGTGCAATATTGGTTTCTGAAGTCAGTGATTAATCACTACATACAACACCCAGTGCTCATCACAAGTGCCCTTTTTAATACCTGTCACCCATCCAGCCCATCCCCACTCACCTGCCCTCCATCAACCCTCAGTTTGTTCTGTATCTTTAAGAGTCTCTTATGGTTTGTTTGCCTCTCTCCTTTTTCTTTCCCCCCTCCCCCTATGTTCATCTGTTTTCTTTCTTAAATTCCACATATGAGTGAGATCATATGGTATTTGTCTTTCTCTGACTGACTTATTTCACTTAGCATAATACCCACTAGCTTCATCCATGTTGTTGCAAATGGCAAGATTTCATTCTTTTTGATGGCTGAGTAATATTCCTGTGTGTGTGTGTGTGTGTGTGTGTGTGTGTGTGTGTGTATACCACCTCTTTTTTTGTTAATTTTTTATTGTTATGTTTATACCACCTCTTCTTTACTTATTCATCTGTTGTTGGACACTTGGGACCTTTCCATAGTTTGGCCATTGTTGATAATGCTGCTATAAACATCAGGGTGCGTGTATCCCTTCGAATATGTATTTTTGTATCCTTTGGGTAAATACCTAATAGTGCAATTGTTGGATCGTAGGGTAGTTCTATGAAAACACATTTATTGAAAATAAATTTGAAACTGTTCAGTATGCAAAGAGAAAACTGATTTGGTGGCCTCATAGCATTAAGAATTCAATTTGAGGTAGCAAGCGACACCCTTTTAGAAACTGCTCATGACATTCATAAAGATTTGCAACTTAGAACATAAACCAAAGATGCACTTTGAAAATCATCTACTCCTAAATGGTGTTTTAAGTGAAATTAATATTTTGAGCAGAATAATGCGGGAATCCAATTCGATGCCCTTACAAGCACCAAAGGAAGAAAGGATAACAGAAGATCAGTGATATGTTAAAAATTTTTGAGTCTTGGTGGCAAGCATGCTATTATTCTCTGTAGGTTGGTGTGTGATTTCTAACAGTAAAAAGTTTTAAAAATAGCACCTTAATGTCTACCACCAAACATCCTCAATTTCCCCCCAATCTCTTAAATAAACTTTTGGTTACTCAAGTTTAATTACTGAAAAAAAAAAAAGAATCCCTGGGTTCACTTGGAGCTCAGAGTTCATGTTGTATATATTGCCCCCTGTGGATATAAGAGCCCTGCCCAAATCCCTAGATCTAGATCGCCAGGTCTCCACTTGATTACCTCCTGCAATGGAGAGCTTCCCACCTATTATCTCACAGTCTCCAAAGGTACCTTAAGGTGACCAGAATCAAAATCACATACACACAGCCACACACTCACACAGTCACTTAAACATACTCTCTCATACACACACAAATACACACTAAACCGGCTGGTCTGACGATTCTTCAAGCCTAAGTCTCTGACACTGTGAACCACTGTAAACACCTCCAAAGCCTTTACCTTCCACAGGGGCTTCAGAAAACCCAGCTTCTTTCTTTGGCCAGTCTCTGCTCTCCAGGGGCCCTTCGTTCCACCCTGCTCCTGTGTGGCCAGCACCCAACAGAAAGTCTGGGGCAGGAACAGGAGCAGCAGGAAGAATAATTTGGATGCAAAACAGGTTTGGGGAAGTGATGCCTGATGGGAGGGGCAGTGATTTGGAAAGAGGGGAACCATGCCTATGAGAGTTCAGAATCTGGTGAGTGTCCACAGTGCCTGGGTGTCTGCTGTCACAGAAAAATTTCACCAAAGTTAAACAGGCACAGGAGACTTTATTCAAGACTATGGCAGGGGCGCCTGGGTGGCTCAGTCGGTTAAGCAACCGACTCTTGATCTTGGCTCAGGTCTTGATCTCACACTGGGTGTGGAGCTACTTAAAACAAAACAAAACAAAACAAAACAAAACAAAACAAAAAACCTATGACAATAGTGGAGAGACTCCACCAAAACAAAACAAAAACAAAACAAAACCCTGAATGGGCTAGTGGAACAGAGGCTGGTCCATGGGCTGTGTCCAGCACACTGAGCTATTTCTGAGTTTGAGAGTGTTTTTCTCTGTGATAAGGCCATCTGTATTTGTTAATTGTCCCTTATTCAAGTTCAGCTCCTACCCTCCCACAGAGCCGGGGGGGGGGGGGGGGGGGGGGGGGGGGGGGGGATGCTATCTTCTTCAATGATGACTTTTCAAAGGGATGGCTTGCAGGTCCCTGAGAAAGACATTCCAGGGTTGCAAAACTACTAAGAGGCTGGGAGATTTACCTACATTTCAAAGAGACAGAGAAAGGATATGCAATGCCAAGTTTTCTAAAACAAATGCCCTAAGGAAAGGGAGGTCAGGGGGCTGTAGTCAGGAAGAAAGCTGTGTAAAATTTAATCAAGCTCGGGGGGGGGGGGGGGGGCCATTAAGGCCATCCTGGTCACTGCCATTATGTCAACTCTGTCCCATCCATCTGTGGGTCTATGACCCTAGGTCTCTGCACATGCCTGGTGCCCACCCTGCACCGCAGTGAGGGCTGTGATTGCAGGGGACAGCTCCACCAAGGGGCAGAAGTGAGGCAGGTCAGGAGGTGCTGACTTGGGGTCTCTGTCCCAGCTCCAGCTGCCTGCAGGGGCATCTGTCTGCATGTCCCCACTGCCCTGTGTCTGAGTGTCCACATGGATCTGTGTCCTTGGGGGATTCTGTGTCCCTCTGCTTGTCTGCCTGTGGCTCTGTCTCCTCCAATTTTTTTTATTCATTCATTTACTAATCTAATAAACATTTATTAAAGGCGTGTCCTGTTCATCAGGGTGTCCCCCTTCATGTTTGGGTTTGTCTGGGTGTCTACATTTACATCTGTCCACACTGCGAGTGACTGTCTTTCTGCATCCCATGTGTAACTGCCTCTCCGTCTGCCTGTCTGTCTGTCTCTGCTTCTCTGTACATTCATTGGTTCATTCATTCATACAACATTGCAAACACCCCTGAGGCCTCTGAGGAGTTGTCAGCCTGATACGGGAGACAGACAGCAGTCCAACCCAGAGTGACCATGGCTGGGAGACAGGGAGGTGCCGGAGGCTGAGAGTGGGTGGATGAGTGGGGGAGATCGGGATCAGAAGAGGCTTCTAGGAGGAGGTGATGTTTGTGTGTCTGGGTCTGGAGACATGTCCCCAGCATTGGAGGGTGTGTGCGTGTGCGTGTGCGTGTGCGTGTGTATTTATGCATAATGTGTGTTCCAGTGGAGAAAGAGAAGAGAAACCAAGAGAGCCTGCAAATAACAAATCCCCCAAATTAAGGATTATAGGCCTCTAGCCAGAAATCCAGACCCCAATCCCTCTCCCTCCTCAGCACCAAGGACTCATCATGGCCCCATCATGATTACCTAGGAGGAAACCAGGAAGAGCGGGGGTGGAGGAATCCAGAGCAGGCTGGAGAGCCGGGATGTCTGGGGCTCAGCAGGGAGAACCAGCCAGACAGAAATCAGATCAGGAGGAGCTGTCCTCCGTGTCTCAGCTCAGCTCCACAAACTGGCAATGGGAGTCCCCAGAACCATCCTGCTCTGCCTCTTTGGGGCTGTGTTCTGCCTGACAGGTACCCAGACTTCTGAGCCCAGTGTTAAGAAATGGGGAGGGGCTTGGAATCCTGGGTCTGAGGGAGGAAGGTTGAGGGGGCCTGGACTCCTGGGTCTGAGGGAGGAGGGGGCTGGGGGCCTGGACTCCTGTGTCTGAGGGAAGAGGCGGCTGGGAGTTTGGACTCCTGGGTCTGAGGGAGGAGGTGGCTGGAGGCCTGGACTCCTGTGTCTGAGGGAGGAGGGGGCTGGGGGCCTGCACTCCTGGGTCTGAGGGAAGAGGCGGCTGGGAGTTTGGACTCCTGGGTCTGAGGCAGGAGGGGCTGGGGGCCTGGACTCCTGGGTCTGAGGGAGGAGGGGGCTGGGGGCCTGGACTCCTGGGTCTTGGTGGAGGAGCCGACTGGAGACTGTGTCCTTCTCTGTTCTCCCATCAGTCATCTTCTCTGAAGTCTCTATCCGCCGCCCCCACTGCAGCTTCTCATCCTCCTTGCCCATGCCCCTGTGCAAGGGTACTTCTGGGGAACCCTGGGGGTCTTTCCAGAACTGGCAGAGAACTTCGGCCTCACCCTCAGGCAACCCCTTCCCCCAGTTTGGGAAAAGACAGAGACATATCAGGACCGAAGTGGCTCCAAAGATGGGAGCAGAGCGGGGAGAGGAAGCTAAGCATGAGCCCGGCCCACTGTGTGTGTGCTCATCCACGGAAGAGAGTTCGATTTCTGTGTGTGTCCATGTAGGCATGCCCGGTGGGTCTCTGTGCATGTGTTTCTCTCTACCAGATTTCACACGTGAACAAGTGTTTGAACAAATGCTTCGGGGTCTGTTTTTCTCTGAGTTTCACTTTCTTTGTAGAAGAGATGTGTGTATAATTTTGCATATCTGTGCCTCTCTTTGTGTGCGTGCATCCCTGTGATTGGCAGGCCTATATTTATCTCTGTGCACATGCATTCAGGTACTGAAGTGTGTCTATCTCTCTGTGTATCTGTGCCCCATGTCTCTCTGTGTCTTGGATCTGTCTATGGTTTAAAATTCTATGGTTTTGTGGGTCTTTTTTTGTATCTCTAACTTTGCATAATTGTGGTCTTTCATTTTATTTGTGTGTCTATGATTCTTGAGGCCATATTTGTCTCTCTCTGGGTATGACTTCCTGTGTCCCTGGGTCTCTCTGTGTGTTGTTTTTGTTTCTGTATCCACACATTTTTCTGTCTGTTGGTATGATCTTGCACGTGTCTTGGTTGGGAGAGTTTCCACTGGAGGGTCTGGGTGGTACTTATTTTATATTTGAATATAGAACTCTGCATGGATGCTCAGGATATTTTGTACCTGTGTGTGAGATTTGCATGAGCCTGTGTCAATTTTATTATTTTGTGTTTATGTCAGTATTTCAAGTGTTTTGTGCGTGTGTCACCGGGGCTGGCTGTGTGTGTACATTTGTAGTACAAGACTGCACATCCCACTACCTGTGCTGGAGTCTGCTTTCTACCCATGGCCTTTTAGTGCTCCTGGACATCCTGAGTTTAGTTGGAAGAGAGACAGGCAGAGCAGGAATGAATCACTTCCTCCTTTATTTAATCTTAGAGGGCTTCCTGGAAGAGGGTATAGATCCTGAATAGCTGGGGGAGAGAAAATGCAGGTGCACAGAGGCCATTACTCTGCCAGGAGGTAGACACTGCCATGACCAACCACAGCAGTGGTTTCAAGGTACAGTGGTATGGGCTGCACACTGCATCGGGGCCCGCCTAGCCTGACATGAAGGCCTGAATCCTAGTGTGCCTAGTTCTGTCTAGGCAGCAAGGCCTGGCTCCCCTCGGAGCAGAGCAGCCTGGCTGGTGAGACTGTCATTTGCTAGGGGGAGCTCCGGGGGAGTTCCTGGAACAGGCTTATCCCCCCCCCCCCCGACACACACACACACACACACACACAGCTCTGCTCACCCCATCCACCCCGCTTCTCTCCTCAGCGTCCCAGGCCCGACAATGCTACAACTTTCAACACATCTACTTCGGGCCCTTTGACCTCAGCGGCATGAAATTCCACAATGTCTCCTGTCCCCATGGATGCTCTGAGGCTGTCTTGTCCCTGGACACTGGTGAGGGACTGAAAGTGGCAGGAAAAGGAAAAGGCTGTGCAGAAGACAAAGGGGTGGGGGCAGCGACGGGGATGAGAGATTAGGGAGGGAGGGGGCAGAGGGGAAGAGCCAAGGGGGGGGGGGGGGTTGGGGAAAAGAGAAGGGCAGAGCTAAGGACAGACAGCGGAGGTAGAGGACGGGAAGAGGAAGGGGGGAGGGAGAAAGACCGGGGAGGATGAGGGGCGTGAGGTAGGGCAGGAGACCGTGGGAGCCTGGGGGGGGGAGGGGTGGGGAGCGATCGGTGAGGGGAGGAGGAGTCGGGGGAGTAGGGCAAGCGGAGTTTGCAGGGAGAACGGGAGGAAAGAGAATTCGGGAAGCAGGGAGAGGCGAGGTGAGTGCCCGAGAAGAGCGAAGGAGGAGGGAGAGATTGGAGACCAGAGAGGCCGAGCGGGGCGGTAAGAAGGAAAGGAGGAAGGAGGCTGGGACGAGGCAACGCACCAGGTCCCGGGCCCCTCCCGCCCCCAGGCTACCGCGCCTCAGTGACCGTGGTACAGAAAGGCTGCTGGACAGGCCCGCCTACCGGCCGAATGCTGTCCGACGACCACGCGCTGCCGCCAGACTACTCGGTGGTGCGCGGCTGCGCGACCGACTTGTGCAACGTCGACCTCATGACCCACGACTCCATCCCCAATTTGAGCCCGGGTGAGCGCGAGGGCGGGGCTGGCCGGGGTGGACTGGGAGGGGCCCCCGCCCGGGCAGGGAAGGGGCGTGGCCTCCACTGGGCGCCTCCTCCGTCGTGCTAGGATTCAGACCTTCACGTCAGTGAGGCCCGGTGGGCGCCTCGATGCAGTGCGCAGCCCACACGACCGTACCTCGCAACCATTACCTGAGTGTGCGTCTACGCTCTCTTGCCAGCGCCCAACCCGCCGACGCTCAGCGGCTTGCAGTGCTACGCCTGCTTGGGGATCCACCCGGAGGACTGCTCCCCGGAGAAGTCTCGACAGGTCCACTGTCACCAGGACCAAAGTGTCTGCTTCCAGGGCAATGGCCAAATGACCGTCGGTGAGGGGCTGGGAACGGGGCAGAGCCTGGGCAAAGGGTGTGAAGGCAGGGCAGGCCTGAGGGTAGAGGCACCGGACAGGCCTGACGGGGAGACACGGCTCTGGTCTGAAGGAGGAGGCGTGGCTGGGAGGGAAGAGTCATGGCTGTCCTTTGAGGGAGAAGCATGGCCCTGGTCTGAGGAGAGAGGCATGGCTCTGTTCTGAGACAGGAGGCAGAGCCCTAGTCTGGAAGGAAAAGGCATGGCCTGGTCTGAAGGAGAAAGCCATGTCCCTGCTCTGAGGGAGAAGGGCAGGGCTCTAGTCTGAGGAGAGAGACCGGAAGTAAGGTCTGAGGACCCAGTCGTGGCCCGGGCCTCTGAGGTGGAGGTTCAGGTGCAGCTGCCTCCCTCAGTTCTGACCCCCTCCTCACTGCCCCCCCCAGGCAATTTCTCAGTCCCCGTGTACATCAGAACCTGCCATCGGCCCTCCTGCACCATCAAGGGCACCTCCAGCCCCTGGACAAACATCGACCTGCAGGGCTCCTGCTGTGAGGGGCACCTCTGCAATAGGGACTCCGTGACCCAGCCCTTCACCGCTGCCTCGGGCACCGCCCCTTCCCAGGCGCCCTTCCTCATGGCCCCGCTCCTCATGGTCCCCCTGCTGGTGGGCACTCTGGGAGGACCCCTTGTGCCCCTCTCTTAGACAGCCCCTCCAGCCTTTTTATGAGCAGGATGCTGGGGGCAGGCACGCACCCGCTTCTAGAAACTTCAGCCTCTGTAATGTGGCTCACTGGGAAATGATGTCACACAAGAGTTGCACTCCTGTCTCTCTCTGCCACCACCCCCCACCCCCGCCACTTCCCTACCCCTGCCTTGCCCATACCTGATCAGCAGGCCTGGGAGAAATTGGGAAAGGTCCCCATCATCCCAGGGTGGGGAGACACAGCCACATCCTGGCCCACATGAAGAGCAATCCTGACACCAGGGAGGCCCCGGCACCCCGCAACCCACTTTCCTCCCTCTAGAGCCAGCATAGAGCTACAAGAATGTCTTTATTTGTATCGTCATGAGAGTTTCGAGAGGCAGCATATCCTAGGAGCTAGGAGCACAAACTCTGGAGCCAGCCTGCACGGGGTTCAAATCCCAGCTCTACCATCTAGCCTGTGGCTAGTTACTCAACCTCTCTGCACCTGTTTCCTCACCTATAAGGCAGAGGTGAAAATAAAACCTACACTAATGACAAGCTCTACTTCGCAGCGGTTGTGTTCAGAATTTAATGAGAGGAACATGGACTACCTGGGACGCAACAGCCACCCAGCGTGAGTTGGGCTATTATCCCAATGCCTGTGAGCAAATGAGAGGTGAGGGCACGTGCTTGTGCCCATGTATCTAGTGAATGGGGAGCCGGGAGGGTGACTCCCAGCCCCATCAACCGCTAGGCAATTCTACGTCCCAAACACACAGGTGTTGATGAATTTGACAGAAAGGCACTTGAGGCAAAGCTGAACCGGGAAAAATTCTCCAACCTGTGGAGATTGAGGGAGACATCCTGGAAGAAGTGAATCTTATGCCAGCTCCTAAAGGATAAAGAGGTCTTAGCAAAGAGAAGCAGGAAGAAGGGCATTCCAGGTGGAGGAGACAGCCTGGACACAGATGCAGAGGTAGGGAAGGACACAGGGCAGGCAGAGGTGTATACAGAAACATGGAATGTCCTCCTGTCCACGCCCACGATTACAAGGTCCTTTCACATCCTGTGCCCCACTTGATCCTCCCAATGATCCCAAGAGGCACACAAGAAAGGTAGTTGCATCCCCATTGGGCAGACAAGTTGCCCAAGACATAGTGAGAGTCAGTGATTTTCAGAGTAAGTGGCAGAGCAAGGATGGATCCCCACATCTTCTAACTTCCTTAATGAAGAGGAAGTCATCTCAGAGATGCTCCTACCTTCCTGTGAGGTCAAGGGGAGAAGCGTTCTAGATGTCTACACATCCTGACATAGAAGGAGAAGCTGAATGTCGATACCCATTCATTCATCACATTTACTGAGCACCTACCATATCCAGGCACTGTCCTAGTTTCTAGACATACAGCAGCGAACAAAACAGGCAAAAGTCCCAACCTTCAAGAAACTAACTTTTTTTTTAAGATTTTATTTATTTATTTGACAGAGAGAGAGAGAGCACAAGCAGGGGGAGCTGCAGAGGGAGAGGGAGAGATAGAAGCAGACTCCCCGCTGAGCAGGGAGCCTGACGTGGGGCTCGATCCCAGGACCCCGGGATCATGACCCGAGCCAAAGGCAGACGCTTAACCGACTGAGCCAACCAGGCGCCCCAAGAAACTGACCTTTCTAGTATGGGAAGCAGACTTTGGATTTTATTGCAAATGTGATCTGAAGCTGGGATGGTCAGTCTGATGTGTCCACTTGGCTAGGCTACAATCTCAGTTAGTCACTCAAACACTATTCTCAGTGTAAGTACATTTTGTAGATGTAGATATTATAGTCCATGGCCAGGTGACTATGAATAAGGGAGATTATCCAAATCATCGGGGTGGGCCTGGGTCAGCCAGCTGAAAACGCCTTAAAAGCAGAGCTGAGGCTTGCCTGGAAAAGAAATCCACCTATGGACAGCATCTTCAGCCCGTGCTCGAGAGTTCCAGCCTGCCTCTTCTTACAGCCTGCCCTGTGGATTTTGAACTCGCCTGGCCAGCCCACACAGTCACATAAGCCTTGCCATAAATCTCTTATCTTAATATATATCCCCAGCTAGTTCTGTTTTTCTGGTTGATCCCATACTGATACAGAATCCATTGGAGAATTTATAGCAGGGAGCTGCCATGTTTCATATAAATATATATCATATAATAGTATATGTATAGTATATTATTATATCTTACGTGGTGTGTACATAATGTTATGTATTATAACATACATATATAATTATATGTATATGTAATTACAGATAATATATAACTTTTTCAATGAAACATAAAACACATACCGTAAAATGCACAACGTGCCATTTTGCCATATGTATACACCTGAATAACCTCCACTAGATCAAGATATAGAACATTTCTGGTCCCTGTCCCCTTCACAGGCACTTCCCACCCTGGAGGGAGCCATTACTCTGACTTCTATCATACATCAATTTTGCCTAATATTGAATGTCATATAAATGGAGTCATAAAGCGTGTCCTCTTGTGTACATGCTTTACATTTTAGAGATCCCTGTGTCTGGGGCGCCTGGATGGTTCAGTTGGTTAAGGGTCTGCCTTCGGTTCAGGTCATGATATCTGGGTCCTGGGATCGAGCCCTGCATCAGGCTCCTTGCTCAGCGGGAGTCTTGCTTCTCCCTCTCCCTTTGCCCCTCTCTTAGCTTGTGTTCTCTCTCTCTCTCCCTCTCTCTCTCTCTCAAATAAATAAATAAAATCATTTATTTGAGAGAGAGAGAGAGACAAAGAGAGAGAAGGAACACAAGCAGGGGGAGTGGGAGAGGAAGAAGCAGGCTTCCCGCGGAGCAGGGAGCCCGATGGATTTTGTTGGTAGAGCTGACAGGACTTGATACATTGGCTGATGAATGTGAGGTAAAGAAAAGACTCCAAGGTTTTGGCCTGAGGAACGGGGGAAATGGTGGTGCCATTTACCAAAGAGAGGGACAGATGGAAGTGAGTGAGAATCAACAGTTGGATGTTCGACATCTTGAGTTTTATTCTGTTTACACTAAGAGCACTTCCATTTGCACAGGGGACACAGAACATATGGGTATACCCGGGTGTATTTCCCCAACAGACATAAGTTTCTATATTTCCTCCAAAAGACATATCCTAGAATGTTCCCAGGTGGACAGTTCATAATAACCACAAACTGGGAACAGCTCAAATAATTATCAACAGTAGCATGGATAAATTAATTGTGGCCTCATCACATAGTGGAATGCTATTTAGCAATGAGAATGCACCTACATGCAGCAGCATGGATGAGTCTCACAAACGATGTTGAGCAAAAGGACAATATACACAGGAGACCATTCTGCACAATTCCGTTTATACAAGGTTCCCAAGTAGGCAACACTAACGTATAGTTAGAAGTCAGAATACTCAGGGGTGCCTGGGTGGCTTAGTTAAGTGTCCGACTCTTGGTTTTGGCTCAGGTCATGATCTCAGGGTCGTGAGATCGAGCCCTGCATCAGGCTCCGTGCTCTGTGCACCGTCTGCATGAGATTCTCTCCCTCTCCCTCTGCCCCTCCCCCCATTCGAGTGTGCGTGTGCTCGCTCACTCTCTCTCTAAAATAAATAAATACATAAATACATAAAATCTTTAAAAAAAAAAAAGTCGGGATACTCAGTGGCTGGACGAGAGGACAAGGGGTTTTCTGGGATCTGGTCCTGTGTTTCTTGATCCAAGAATTCACCTGCTCTTTGCTGATGATTTGTGTCCTTTCTGTATGTATATTATTTTCCATAAAAGGTTGGGAAAAATTTTTAAATGCTTTCTTGGTGCGGAAATGGCAAATGGGGGGTGGAGAGAAATAAAACATACCGCCTTTCTTAAAGTTATTTATTTGGCTACAACTAATGAGCAAAGGGATAGAGAAGACTTCAGTTAACCATCTCATGACATGAACCCTTGCATGTTAGGTAATGCGTTAAAAGAAAAGGAGTGACTGATTGAATAGATCCAGGAAATGTGGTCTCTATTGTGCCGGTTGGTTGTGAATTATCCAAATGATGTTTAGTATTGTTACTATCTGTGTTCTGACTGGATGGACTTAAATTTGCACATCATTCATTTTGCCTATCCCTTCACACACCTCTTTGTCTTCTTGATCTGTGGTCATCTAACCCTTTTTTACTACTCACCGAACAGCTAATTATTGCTACTTCCTAACTGCAGTGCCTCAGAAATATCTGGTCTTGATGAGCAGGCAAAGGCAGTGGAGAAGTAGCATGGATGCTACTGACAAGATTTTCATCTGTGAATGTCAGGACCACCACCACTACGAATCCTTATATAAAAGAATAAAGGGAAAGAAGAGGCGAGATTAAAAGAAGTTAGTAGATGAAAGATAGATGAAAAGATAAAAATGGAAGAAAGGAAGAGAGGGAGGGATAGAGGGGGAAGACAAGTGAAGAAGAAAATACGCGTATCTATAGGAATTGGCAAAGCAGCCGGAGGAAAGGCATCCCGGGTAGAAAGGACAGTGCTCACAAAGGCGTGGTTTGTGTATAGAGTGTGAGGAAGGAAGATGAGGAAGGAGGGAGAGGGTGGCAGGGTCCCTGAAGGGCCTAAATTGTCAGGTGAAGATAAAGTCCCCTGAACTTCTCCCTGCAGCTGATGGGGATCTGTGGAAGGGCTGAGAGGAGGGGAAAGGCATGGGACATTCTCCCTGTGACCATGCAGGGGACAGACCAGGGGGTAGTGAGACTGGAGACAGGGAGAAGAGAAAGGAGGTGGTCTCTCACTTGTGCTCAGGGGGCCAGGGGCCACACGGTGTTGAAGGGTCGGAGGGAGAAGGAGAAACTAAGAAAGCACAGTTCATGAGGGCTGTGGGTTAGGAGGAGTAAAGTTCCTTATAAGTGGCGATAGTGGTTTCTCCTGGAAATTGGGAAGGGAATGTTGTCATAAAGGGACACCCAGGAAGATTCTGGGGGAGTAGCAATATTCTCTCTGGGTGTCCAGGGTGATTTCATGGGGGGTTCCCAATATAATTATTTGTCCAAAGTAGACCTCTGAACGTTATGTACTTTCTGCACGTATGGTACATTTCATACAAAAAAAGAATGCCAACGGCAAAGTTAAGGCCAGAGCCCAGGTCTTTGGACTCCCATACTGTGCCTTTTTAATCTTTGATGATAGAGATCAGAATAGTGACCACCCCTGGTGTGTCAGCTGGGAGACAGTACAAGAGACCTTGCTGTGACAAGGTCTTGTCCTTCGGCTTGCTCAGGTGCTGGTCACACAAGTCCATACACACGTAGAGCTGCATCAATCTGTACACTGAAGATTTGCAAACCTGACAGTGTGCAAGCCATACCTCAATTAAAAGAAACAAAATTCAAAATACAACATATAATTAAATGATATCATGTCTGGGATTTGCATCAAAATAATAGAGGAAGTGAGGAAGTGGGTGGAGGTGAAATGCTATTAGCCATGAGTTGGTAGTTGTTAAGTGGGGTGCATGGCAGTTTATTATACTCTTCTTTTCACTTCTGTATGTTTGAAGTTTTCCAAAATAAAAAGTGTATACATGAATGTGTGTATACATGAATAGATAAGCACATAAATAGCTAGGACAGATACCTACTGAACACACAGTGACCCAGGCACTCCCTCCCTTGAGAACTCAAATGTCTGTCTTCTCCCAGTGATTCAGAAGTTCCAGTGCCTGGATGGATCACACACACATCACTCCTTTCCCAAGATTTGTCTGACCTCTCCAGCGTAATGGAAGTGGGAGCCCTAATCAGCACCAAGGACAGATCTGTAGCACTGGGTCTCAGAACCACAGACTGCAACTTCAACTAATTGGGGTGGAGGGACAAAGGACAGGGAAATGAAGAAATGACATCCTTCCCACCTCCAGGACAGTGTGGAACAGGGTAAGAGGGCAGAGTCAAAGGACAGTCAATCAGTACCATTGAATAAGAGCATTCCTTCACAAATACCCATTGGGCATCGCCTATTGCCAGGCACTGTTCTGAACACTGGGGAAGACAAGATCCCTGTCCCAAACAATTAGACAAATAAGAAAATAGGATTATTTAGATAATCCAAGTGCCATGAAGACAAAGCAATTAAATAGGATACAGGATTCTTTATGGAGCAGGAGGGGACCATTTTTAAAGAGGTGGTCAAGAAAGAGACTATATTTGAGCAAATAACTGGATGAAGTAAGAGAATGATTCATGAGGAGATTGGAGGGCAAAGCACTCAGGCAGAGGGACAAGCAAGCACCAGGATCCTGAGGCAGGAAAGAGCTTGGCAGGTTTGAGGGTCAGCAGGAAGGCCAATGTGATAGAGGAAAGTAAATGGAGGGGAAAGTGGCAGGAAGGGTTTTGGCAAGATAGGAATAGACATACAGGAGAAAGAGAGAGAAAAAGTATGAAAGACAGAGATCAAAAGAGTCAAGGGAGAGGCTCCTGGGTGGCTCAGTCAGTTAAGTGTCTGCCTTCAGCTCAGGTCATGATCCTGGAGTCCCAGGATCAAGTCCCACATAAAGCTCCCTGCTCAGGGGAGAGCCTGCTTCTCCCTTTGCCCCTCACCCTACTCATTCTCTCTCTCTCTCAAATAGATAAATAAAATCTTTTTAAAAAGGAAGAAAGAGTCAAGAAAGACCCAGAGGTGAAAAGAAAAGCAAAATGATACTATCTGCAATTTATAAAGTACAATTTCCAATTTCCATTATCTATTCCATTATATATACACAGTTGATCCTTGAACAACATGGGTTTGACCTGTGCAGATTCATTTATACACAGCTTTTTTTAAATATAAATACAGTAGTATAAATGCAGGGCGCCTGGGTGGCTCAGATGGTTAAGCGTCTGCCTTCGGCTCAGGTCATGATCCTGGAGTCCTGGGATCCAGTCCCGCATCAGGCTCCCTGCTCCTTGGGAGCCTGCTTCTCCCTCTGCCTTTCCCTCTCTCTGTCTCTCTCTCTCTCTGCCTCTCTCTCTCTCTCTCATGAATAAATAAATAAAATCTTTAAAAAAAAAAGTAGTATAAATGCATTTTCTCTTCCTTATGGTTTTCTTAACATTTTCTTTCCTCTACCTGACTTTATTGTAAGAATACAGTATATAATACATTTAACATACAAAATACACATTAATCAACTGTTTATGTTATCAGTAAGGCTTCCAGTCAATAGTAGGCTACTAGTAATTAAGTTTGGAGGGAGTCAAAAGTTGTATGTGGATTTTTCAACTGTGTTGGGGGTCTGTACCTCTAGCCCTCCATTCCTTGAGGGTCAACTATATACATATTCATATATATACATATTTTTTAGTTATGGAAACTTCAAACACGAAAGTGAACAGAAGGGTATGCTATTTATTATCATTGTGTAACAAATCACTACAAAATCTAGTGTCCTTTTAAAAAATATTTTATTTATTCATTTGAGAGAGAGGGAGAGCATGAGGCAGGGAGGGGCAGAAGGAGAAGCAGACTTCCCGCTGAGCAGGGAGCCCGATGCGGGACTCCATCCCAGGACCCTGGGATCATGACCTGAGTCGAAGGCAGACCCTTAGTGGACTGAGCCACCCAGGTTCCCAAAATCTGGTGTCTTAAAACAAAAAGTATATTACTTCTCAAGATTCTGAGGGTTGACCAGGCACTTCTGCTCGCCTCTCCAGAGGTTACTCATGCCACTGCATTCAGCTGGGGCTAGACTGAGGCTTTGGACCGGGGTGCCTTGATTCTTCTCTGCATGGCCTCTCCATGGGCTTCCTCACAGCATGGTCATCTTAGAGTTCTAAGAGAACAAAAGTGGAAGCTTCTAGTTCTCTGAACAACTGGACCTCGAGCCGGCCCAGCATCATTTCTGCAGCAAACAAGGCACAAGCCAGCCAGATTGAAGCCACATGTCAGCACAGACAGGAGGAGATATTGGCAGCCAGCTTTAGAGACAATGTACCCCAAGTGCTTATCATATATCAGCTCCAGGGGGTGCCTGGGTGGCTCAGTCAGTTAAGCGTCAGACTCTTGATTTCAGCTGAGGTCATGATCTCATCAGGGTCCTGAGATGGAGCCCGCTCCATGCTGGCCGCAGAGCTTGCTTAAAATTCTCTCTCTCCCTCTGCCCACCCCCTCTAAAAAAAAACAAAACAAAACAACAACAACACATATACCAGGTCCTGTGTCAAGGACCGTGGATATTCATCTAATTCTCAAGCATCCCTGTGACATGGGTATCATCCCCATTTTACAGGACATACAGCTAAGATCGCAGAGCTAGATGTGAACACTGGTCTGTCCCTAACCCAGGCTGTATGTGTGTTATATTCCACACAAAAATACTCAGTGGCCACGGCAAGATTTGAACCAAAGTCTGTGGACTCCCAGATTGTGAGATATAATTATTTCATTATACACTATTTATAATTAAGTTTATAATTTATAATTAAATTGACTTAACAAAATGATATACATAATTTTTCAAGATGTACTACATGTTGGCTAATTGAACTTAATAAAAAATAATGATATACATAATTTTTAATTGATGGGGAACAGAGATATATAAAGGATAAAGGAAACAAAAACAGAGAGAAACAAGGAGAAAAGAAAAAGGCATGCACTTGAAGACAAAGGCCAGGATACAGAAACTGAGAAGGAAGGCCAGTGAGATACAGAGAAAAGAGAAGCAAAGACTCAGCGTGAAGAGAGGTTGACGGAACCACAAAACTTCCTTTAGCTTGGAATCTCCATGAGAGCAGGGATTTTGTCTGTTTTGTTTTTACTACACCCTCAACACTTAGAGCAGGACGTGGCACTCAGTAGGTGCTCAATGTATGCTGACAGGAAACCAGCCTGGACAAGCAGGTGCCTGCAGTTCCCAAAGCCACCATTAGGTGGAAGTATCCCATGCCCTGAAGCCTCCAAATGCCTAAGTCAAAAAGACCAGCCGTGGTGGATTTGCCTCCACAAGCCTCTGACTTACATGAAGGATGTCTTCCTCCTGGCTCAGCCCCGCCTTTCCCTGCACAAGCCCCGGGGCGACGAGTGACCTTTCCGCCTGAGACACCCTCCTCACTCCCCTCCACTACCCTGCCCAGTTAAACAACCCTTTGTCCTTAGCCCCTTCTGGCTGGGCCCCAAGGCACCTGGGTCCTTTCCAGGCCCGGAGATGGGGATGGGATGAAGGTGGGGCAGCTGGGACAAGGCCAAGGAAAAGTCCCAGGGACTTTGGAATCAGTTCTTCTAGCCTTCCTGGACCAGGAGTGTGCGATCCAGCCCCTTCCTCCCTCACACCCCCAGCCCCAAGAGCCCAGCCCCATACCCCTCCTCCCTCAGACCCAGAGTCCAGTCCCATAACCCTTCCTCCCTCAGACCCAGGAGTCTAGGCCTCAACCCCCTTCTCCCTCAGACCCAGGAGCCCAGGCCCCCAGCCCCTCCTCCCTCAGA